TAAGGTTTGAGAAATAAACAGGTTGAAGGATGCATCCGAGAGGAGTGTCCTGTAGTATGGAGACACAACTAACCATCTGTGAAGAGAGGACCAAGGGGGAAAAAGAAGGCATTTTTTCCAAAGGAGCCCCAGGGCTCAGAATGTATCTGTAAGGGGCACAGACTGAAGATGAATGGCTACTCATCTAGAAAGAGGGGAACAGGGCGTCCCTGGTTCCTTTCTTTTCCTAGTGAATGTCCAGGGGACATGAGAGAGAGAAGGAAAAAGCTTCCTCTTTCCTTCTTTCATCCTTATATCCCCAAGTCCTGGTGACCACAACAGGGTGCCACCCGTGGGTGTCAATGCAGCTTTCACTCACGTTAACAGGTGGGCCTAGGGCATGGGATTATCTGCACTTCCCCATGCACTCACTGCCTTTCCCTCTGCTATAAGTAGCCTTTGAGTTCCTGAAACCTCATTTACGCCATGGATACTAGCATGACCTCTACCCATGAAACGGGAGGCTTGGCTTAATCAACCAGAATTAGTCAAGCTCATGTGTGGTGTGTGCCTTTTAACTTCTGTTGTTGTCTGCCTCTGGATCCCTAAGATCCAGTTTTCTTTCCTAGGGCTTCAATCCAAAGCTTGGAATTGAGTTTGGGACAAAAGAATTGCCTCCCTATCATAAGCCAGATGCTAAGGTGAAGCTCTAAAATTGGGTCCTCTCAAACATGAGAGAGAAAAGGGTGTCCTGTGTATTGGAGTCCTGGCCTAATAAAACACCTTTCAAGAAAAATCCTCTGGCATTGAGAAGCCCCTTGTACTCACAGGGCTGTGTTATTAGGTTGGTGCAAAATCAATTGTGGTCCCTGCCAATCTAGGTAATAGCAAAAACTGTAACTACCTTCACATCAATCCCTGAACTCCTGACCTGGTGGAGATAAGAAAGGAAAAAAACAAAACAAAACAAAACAAAACAAAACAAAACAAAACTTAAGCATAGGGCAGGGAAATGCCTGGGGAAGAAACCTCTTGTTCTTATGCAAACAGAGAGAACATTTTAATCGTTGTCCCACCAAGCTGGACTCCTTGGCCAGGGGAGAGGAAGACTGTATGGATGTGTGGCAGGGAACACTGGCCACCTGTCTGCACAGGGCCTCTGGCCCCCAAGATTGCCCTGGGGCCCAGGTAGCAACTTCGGCTCAGTCCCACCCTGCATGGCTGTTGGAAGCCAAGTGTATATACAGCAGACACGGCCATGTGCCCCAGCAGGGAGGGAATGGGGCACAGGGAGCCACCACTTTCACATCTTTCCCATGTGGCAGCCATTGGGGTTGGGGTGGAACACCCTTGGTATTGTAAAAGAAAAGATAGGTGCCATTACAGTCCTGAAAAAAAAGAAGAAAAATACCTTAGCAAAGACTGTGTTGGACTGAGGCCGACATTCCCAAATCCAAGAGTGACGCAGGGGATGCAGTTTCCTCTGCCTTCAGAAAATGTCTGAGGACTGGAAGGCCTAGAAACGAAAGTGAAAGGAAGGGTTCACATTTTACTCACCCTTCCTCATGTCCCCATATAGGCCACCAAATGATGCAGGCATTTTTGGTTCTTAATTCAGCTAAATCCGGGCGCTTGTCTCACGACCAGGAAAAATTAAGCATGCAGACACATTGAAAGGTAAAGAGGGTGGAATTTATTAAGAGAAAAGAAAGCTCTCAACAAAGAGAGGGGTCCTGCATTTAGGTTTCCACCTCACAAATTGAATACCAGGCCACCACACATGAGCTGAAGAGGCCAGGATTCTCCCCTGCATAAAGCATGACTTTCTGGTAGCTCCACCCCATTTTTCTAGTGCACATGTGGGTCCTTAGTCTGAACCACTCCACAGTGATTTATTTCCCTTACTGAGTATGTGTTAAAGGACATGCTTAGACCATGGGCATGTTTAGACAGGCCTCCTGTGCACAATGACCTGGGCAGGTTGGAGGTTCTCTGAGGACCCTCTCTTATCTGCCAAGACATTTGTCTGTGTCCTGCCTCTATCAATAGATATTAAAGTTCATTTTTCCTTTTGCTTGGTTATTTTTCTGGCTTCCATCATTAAATTACAGGCAGCGATTTTAATGACCATCTACCTGGGTTCTGAAAGGCTCTGTAAAGAGCACACACTTGGGATTTGGCATATTTTTCCTTCAAAAGAACAGATAAATTCCTTGCCCCATATCAGTTAGGTGGTGAGTGGAAGTATTAGAATTTGAAACACAATTGCTTTATTCTGAACTCTGTTTTTGTTGGTTTTGTTTGTTTGTTATGTTACCAAGTTAAAATCTTGGCTTGAAAGAAGTGTTTTAAGGTATAATTATGGTCCAAAAGCAGATTCAGAGAAAAACTTTCACTAATTTCTAGTCCTTTACTACTTCTAGAAGTTCACATTTTATTACTAGCTTTTAAAGTAGCAACAAAGACAATGAACCATGCATGGCTTGTTAAATGAATATGAAAACATGTGAAGTAATGTGGCTTTTAGGCTTCTTCTTCAAATATTGTTTGGAATTGTGAATTTTTAAAATGGAGATTCTTTACACAAAAATTGATTCAATTACATACAGTGTTTACTGTGTGCCAGATGTCATTCAGATGCTTTAAAAATAGTAAATAATATGTTCCTCCTAACAAATCAAGAAGTAGGTGCTATTATTCTCGTTTTATAGATGAAGAAATTGAGGCACAGAGAGCTTAAATTGTCCACAGTCACACAGCTTGTGTTGGTTTCAAGAGTAGATCCAGGTAGTCTGACTTCAAAGACCATGCTCCTTATCATCTGTTATGTTGCTAAATAAAATACTGACTATGGAAGACCTAGGAACAGAAGGAAGTGCTACCATAAGTAACTTTGCTTCTAACCATAATGCTTGTGAATATTTTCATCCCACAGACTTCCTGCAACTTTACAATAAAATCAACTCCTGGTTCCTCATGGGCCTTCATACATGTTGAAGATTAGCTATCAATTTTGGTCACTCAGCCAAGTGAATGTGGAATACTTCTCTTTAATAGGCCGTCTCTAAGGAGCTCTCTTAGTAAGAGTAGGTGCTCCTTTTCAAGGAAACTATTTGGATCTCGTGACTGACTGTTGGCCTAATCACCATGTTTTTAAGTGTTGGCTGAATTCATTGTAGCAAATTGGTTTTTTGGAAGCACTACTCCTACCTGAGGCTATTCTTCACATTTTTTTTTTTAGAGTTTTTAGTTACGTAATTCCCTCTTCTACTAGAATTGACAATCTTCTTCTTCTTCTTTTTTTTTTTTTTTTTTTTTTGAGACGGAGTCTCGCTCTATCACCAGGCCGGAATGTAGTGACACAATCTCAGCTGACTGCAACCTCAACCTCACAGGCTAGAATTGACAATATTCTATGGTAGTGGTGGTAATTTATTAAATATGGAAGAAAATGAAATCTTCTTACTGCCACCAAAATAAATATCTGAAGTGTCCTTGTGAGAATCAATAAGCAAAGTGAAACTAAATTAAAAAGTTAGATTAAGGTATAGGCAGAATCTTGGGACTATTAATAAATAAAGTGTTTGGTTTCATTGTTTTATTGCCTGAGATTCTATTAGGTAAAAAAGCAAACATCGTATGTAAACTTAATTGGCACATGATCAAATCTATACAAATTTACTATCTCTAATGATATTCCTGAATGTCATATTTAATTTTAGGTTTGTCCCAAATAATGCAATAATAAAATTGGTCATTCTCCATGTCTTTCCCCCAGTATTATCACATTGGATAAACAAACTTTCTATTCCAAAGTTAATTTTATTCTTACCTGCCAGGAATGTGAACAGATCTAAGAGTATCAGCCAGCCAAATTTCCTCTTTGTCATATTTTCAGTTGCATCTCAGCACATTAAACTGGGGAAAAAAATTGCCCTTCAAGGGCTTACTATCAAGCCCATCCCTTGCACTCTCTTGATCTGGGTACATGTGGCTTTATTCCAGCCTCTTCTCTGTAGGTCTTCTAGTCCTTTCAAATGCCCTACTGGAGAGAACCCAAGACCACTCCATTGGCCTTCTCCTCCATGTGGTCTATATCTGTTTCCCAGAAAATAATCATGCACCATTGTTCCTGCAGTCACGAGGAGTTCTGGCCAACTTAAAATAGCACCATTTTCTTGCCTTTGTCCCCAGAGCACCCATGTGCTTGTCCTCAATTTCCTAGGAAGGAATCAGATCCTGGCCCACTGCCTTCATCTCCAAGGAGAAACCAAGCTCTTCACTATGGCTCCTGTGAAAGGCTCTCATTAAGCTTGAGATTGGAAGTTGTCTTCTATCACCGTTTCCCCTAAAGGGCATGGAGATCCTAACACCACCAAAATTCTCTCCAAATAAATGTCTACTCATTTATATAGTTCTACAATGAGTATCAGAGAGTAAGGTCTTAAAATACGTTTCTTTGGAAAGTCTACATATGTAGTTTTAGAAGGTTATATCAATTGAGCTTGGCATTTAGTTGACACGTTAAGGTTAACCTCTTTTTACATTGTCAAAAGCAATAATCACCATTAGTGACAAGCAAAAAAGATGGAAAATTCCTTTCTCTCTGAGTGCCTGTTGTATATAAATGACTCTGTATTGGCTTGTTCACAGTGATTGCCTGATTTAATCACTGCAACAACTGTGTGGGGTGGGATTATTATTATTCCCAATTTAGACAGGAGGAAACTAAGTTTCAAAGAGTACATTTTTCAAGGCATTACAGATACTGTGGAAATAGAAATATCTAACTAGAAACTTATTCCTCTTCCTGCTATGCCATCACAGGTAAGACATACATATCCCAATGCCATTGTTAGCCCAGGACAGCCCACTCTATTTCTCAAATAGGCACTTTCTTTTTGTTAAACTTGGATATAAAATGGTTTGAGGTCATTTCTACTTCTAATGATTTTGAACACAGCACAAAATTTTAACATTTGGTTGGATCTTAAAATATATGTTTAAATTTTTTTTTCCAGACAATAGATTTTGAAGGTTTCAAACTATTCATGAAGACATTCCTGGAAGCCGAGCTTCCTGATGATTTCACTGCACACCTTTTCATGTCATTTAGCAACAAGTTTCCTCATTCTAGTCCAATGGCAAAAAGTAAACCTGCTCTCCTATCAGGCGGTAAGTTTACTTACTTTAAACGTTTATAAAATACAAATTTCAAAGGCTAAATAAATATCTAGTTATCATAAAAAATGAATGATGATTTGCATAAAAATTGTTTTTTTGCAGTATTTAGACTTTCACAATAAGATTGTGTGAGTTATTTAAAATGTTTCCAGTATAATTATAGCTAATTAGAGAAAATATAATTTATCCTTATCTATCACTTGCTTTAGAATTCTGTGTTTAGGTAATAATTTGAAGAGATATTTCCATCAAATTTGGAAAACTGCTCTTTTTAAATAGCTAGATAAGTATAGATTGCTGAGTATTTGAAAATGTGGTCATAAAGCAATTATATTTAAAAAACTTATAATATTTAATATCTATTGTGCTAATTGCCAATATACTTTCACATGTTTAGATTTGTAAGCTCAGAACAGAGATTTGATTTTTCTTTTAGATACCTTAAATTTGTGTCACCATGGAGATGGTGGTTCTCTCATTATGGGTAGCTTTTTAGAGACGCATAATTACACTAATACCTGTTGTATCAATCTCCCTCCAGTCAGGAAACCAGAAATTTCACTGTATTACCCAATGTAAAACAGTGTAATTGGTTAAACTGTTTTGGAGGGTTGAAAAAGCAAAAAGAAAACACAGGTGATGTAGATAGACTCCCAGGAAACATGTGCTGCCCTTAGATGGCGATAATCACAACCCAGAAGCCCTGAGGAAGGATTTCTTGGAGCTAGGATGAAATTCTGAGGTGAGGGGTTGCCTAGCGGACCCAGCTCTTGTGCTTCTGTGGCAATGATACTTCCCGGCTGCCTCTGGAATTCAAGCTCGGGAATTCAAGACGGGTCTATAGCCCAGGAACTGAGACCTATGAGGAGGGTGCATCATCGTGGCCTGTCCCAGATTGCCTAGCGGGGAGCTCATTGTGCCTTTGATGGTGTGAACATGAGCTAGAGACTAGAGCCTACACTGGACAACTCGCTACGGGGCTGAATGGCTGCAGAGATTCAACAGGAGCAGCAGGTTCTCTCTCAGGGTCTACCCCTTCTCCCCCAACTCCCCCAACCCCTGTGCCTTCTCATCTCTCTCTAGTGTCCTCTATGGACAGAACAGGAATCCACTGGCAATGAAGAAATATCTGCAACAGTGTTTCTCACTCTGATCACAGGACTCTTTGAACTCTTAAAAACTGAGGACCTGAAGGAACTTATGTTTATGTGAGTGATATCTATTGAGATTTACCATATTAACGATGAGACATTCCAAAAATAACAAGAATCAGCCCACTACCTGTTAATAAAAAATAACCCATTCTTATGAAAAATAACTATTTTCAAAAACAAACAAAAATAGTGAGAAGGGTAGCATTGTTTTGCATCATTGCAAATCTCTTTAATGCCTGACTTCATGGAGGACAGCTGGGTAAATTATATCTGGTAGCATGTTTCTGTTACTGGATCATATGTCATATAGCCTCTTGAAAACTTCACTGTACACTCAAAAGAGAATGAGAGTAAGAAAAGCAAATAATATCTCAATTCCATTATGAAAATTATTTTGACCTTAAAAATCCCCTGCAAGGAGCTTAGGGATCAAGGAGAGCCATAGGTCTAGAGATTCCCAACTCCAGAATCACAAAGTAGCATACAGAATTGTTGGTATAGAGGCCAGACACAGTGGATCACGCCTGTAATCCCTGGACTTTCCGAGGCTGAGGTGGGCAGATCACAAGGTCAGGAATTTGAGACCAGCCTGACCAACGTGGTGAAACCTCGTCTCTACTAAAAATACAAAAAAAATTAGCTGGGCGTGTGGCAGGTGCCTGTAGTCTCAGCTACTCGGGAGGCTGAGACAGGAGAATCACTTGAACCCAGGAGGCAGAGTTGCAGTGAGACGAGATCGCATCACTGCACTCCAGCCTGTGTGACAGAGCAAAACTCCATTTCACACACACCACACACACACACACACACACACACACACACGTGTTGGTAAAGAGATAAGTTCAATAACGGACATTCTGAAAAATAAAAATGCAAGAACATGTAACTAAGAAATAGATGGTTGAGTCATAAATGAAACTTAGACAATATGATGAAGAGTCCATAATATTAAGCCTTACATTGTACTGCTTCCCTCCCTCCCTCCCTCCCTCCCTCCCTCCTTCCTTCCTTCTTTCCCTTTCTTTTTCTTTCTTTCTCTCTCTTTCCCTCTTTCCCTCCCTCCCTCCCTCCCTCCCTCCCTCCCTCCCTCCCTCCCTCCCTCCCTTCCTTCCTTCCTTCCTTCCTTCCTTCCTTCCTTCCTTCCTTCCTTCCTTCCTTCCTTCCTTCCTTCCTTCTTTCCTTCTTTTCTTTTTCTTTTTCTTTTTCTTTTTCTTTTCTTTCCAGAATCTGCAGTGCAATGACGAGTCAGGCTGGAGTGCAATGATGTGATCTTGGCTCACTGCAACCTCTGCCTTCTGGGTTCAAGGGATCTTCCTGTCCCAGCCTCCCAAGTAGTTGGGACCTACAGGTGCATGCCAACATGCCCAGCCAATGTTTATAGTTTTAGTAGAGACAGGGTTTTTCCATGTTGGCTGGGCTGGTCTCGAACTCCTGGCCTCAAGCAATCTGCCTGCCTCAGCCTCCCAAAGGGCTGAGATTACAGGCATGAGCCACGGCGTCTGGCCTTCGCATCTATTAATGGTGTAACATATTTTTCCTAAAGTAATCATATGTTGATAGAAGCTTTTTTAAAACAAGTGTACCTATTCTACATGGTAGCCCTTCAAGATGTATGATGACTAATACGTTTGTCATCATTTTTCTCTTCTTATAAAATATTTTTAGATTCTTAAATAATTCTCTTTCAATCATGAATTGAGAGGCTCGCCACACTTTCTGTTTTTCTCAGAATGAGTGTCAGTGGATCTGTTCTTAATGTGTAGTATCACAGTTTAATAGTGTTTTAGGCTGAATATTTTTAAATGATTCTAGGAATTAAAACTTCCATGTTCTCTGCTGCATGCTATAAATGTATCACACATACCTTAAATTGAATTAAACAAGAAAGTTGTCCTGTATTTAATTCTACATGATATGATATTATCCTTGAGTTTTGAGAAAGAAGAGAAAATCTTTATGGATAATTTTGTCTGTCTAAAAACTGTATCACACATAGAAGAGAATAGTTCTGATAATTTAGATGATTTTGTAAGAAATTCAAACCTAAAACTTCCTTTTCTTCTAATAGCATATATTAACTACTGAATAGAAGATGCCAGATTTACTAGAGGTAAAAATCAAATCGGGTTTCAAAATGGAAAAACAAACAAACAAAACAAAACAAAACAAAAAAACCAAAAACAGACTGTACTTGATTTGGGAAAAATTGCACAGACTACATGAAAGGAATATGGGCTGTGTAATCCTCATGAAGCAATGATTAATTAAACTCTGATTCCTTTTCAAAGCTTGGCCTCCACATTTTAGAACTAAGTACATAGTGTACTGTCTAGGACTATTTCTAACCCTATATATTTTTTCAGACCCACCTTTGATAGTTTTTGTTTTTGTTTTTTTCCATGAGGAAGAAGCAACAATAGACAACAATAAAATTTTCAAGGCTGAGGTAGCCTTGACTCCGAAACTGACAAAAGAAATGCCTTTCCATTCATAGAATCTTGCTTTTCAATAATCTGTTATCTAATGTATAATGAGGTGTTTTTGTGGCTGAAAAATAACAGACTTTTGAACAGAGAGGGACTATAATCTGGTCTGGTTTTCCTGTTACCGTTCACCATATTTCATTACCACAGTTCCAGCAGGAATAGAGTAGCTAGTCTTTTACTCTATATAGCAACTAAAAAATAAGAGCTTCTCAAGAAAAAGCAACACTGAAAAGGAAAAGTAATTATGCTCACTACAGAACGATAATCAATTATAAGATATGTGGTAAAAGTAAAGCATTTAGTTTTTATAGAATAAAAATTTTAAAATAATTATAAATAGGCATAAAAGTTGTATGTATTTATACATGTGCATATGTATATCTGGGTTTTATTTGACTATAGTATGTAATGATCCATTTGTCATTTAATGAAGAAGATGACTTATTTTCGTAATATAATTTGTTGTAATATAAGTGCCTCTTATCACCTATTTAAAAATAATGTCACTACTTCAACTGTTTCCATATTTGACTTTTGATTTTTGAAGATATCCCTAATGCATTATCTCTTCAGCTTTTTCATACCACTTTTGGGTCATTGCAAATGTCAGGTCTCTAATCTCTCATCTCTGCCAGTTCAATGACCAATTTCTGATCTTGCTTTCATCCTTAGGGTCCACTACTTGTTAATTACTCTGTTTATACACTTTTAAAATCAGTTAGAATCTTTCTTTTTCTACAACATGGTTGCAGAAAGATGGTTGAGGCTCACAACCTCAACTGTCAATCAAAATTGTTATCTCCTATATCAGTCCCTACAACTTGAACACTCAACGTAACCTGAGAGAAATTTCATAAATATGCAGATTTCTGCCACTATAAATTCCTAGTACCCGATGTTTATATGACCTTAACGCTTCTCCAGTTTTTTAAAAAATGTAACAATTATTTATTGGCACTGTATCCTAGATCAATTATGTTGATTTTAAAAACTTTTTAAAGTTTATTTAAATACGTCTTCTCATTTCAACATGACTGTTTTTGCATCATATAACACATTGGCACTGTCAGACATAACATACCTCAATTACTCCCCACACAACCCACACAGATCACAAATAATATTTATTTACTATATTTTAGATGGAACTTTTTGTCTGAATGTCAAAATATTTCAAACAGTTAGATACCAAACTGACTGTGTTTGAAACTTCATTACTTAGATTCTACCCAAACCTGCTACTATTCCTACCTTCTATTTTGGTGAATAGCATCCAAGAATCTGTCCACTTCCCGGTCCTAAAATATTGGAATCCTCCTACCCTCCACTGTGTCATTTCCCATATTTAGTT